AAACATCACAATAATCCACACAACTCCAGTCCATCAGTTAACATCTTGTGAAGTGAAAAGCTGTGTGTTTGTAAGAACCAAATCACTTTACACTGTCACTTCTGGCCAAAATACCAGTCCATAATTCATAATAATGCTTCATCCAGTGGAAACAGACGCGAAAAACAACTCACCATTGCGAAACCGGATAAAAGAGCAGACGTGCGACTGGACGCCTTGAGTTTGGCTCTGCTCAGGTAAAGCTTTCTCCAGGACAGAGCCTGCAGCGAATGCTCGTTCCGACTCATGTTCATCCGAGCAGAGATTATGAGAAACTATCCGAGAGATTCAGCTGAACCGAAGCATTGCGCTGGGTTAATCGTGAATCTCCAGCGCCGCGCCTGAGCGAGACAGTCAGCTGGCTTGCTCAAGTGAAACTGGATGCATCGTGAAGGCATTACCCACAAGCCTTCGCGACAACACATTTGTTTACACATTTATTAGAGCGTGAACATAACAGAATCGATCGATGTAGGTGAATATTTTCTATTGAATACTTTCTTAACAAAATTATTATTATTATATTTTATGTAATATTATTTGTAAATGGCTCTTTTTAAAAATGTAATTTCATATGTATATTAATATGTATAAAATATTAATATCTTACGCGTTTTCTAAACACATCAACAAGAAATTTGACTTTGCCAGGAGGAAGCATTTTCGTTTCTCCTTGCTATATTAGCAACTGTGCACATTTTGATAAAAACGTTTAACATTAACACAAGTTAACATTATGCATTATTTAAAAAATTATATTTTTATTTGTCTGTATGTATTTTTTGTTTCTCCCATATTAGCAAATATAAACATTAATAGCTATATTAGCAAATATTCACTTTTTATTTTTCATAAAAATCTAATTTGATTTTAATTAACTACACATTATTTTTTAAGATTAAATATATTAGCAAATATGCAAATTTTGATAAAAAACTTTTTTCCATAAAAATCTAAATTAATTTTAGTTAACAATGCATTATTTAAAATATATATTTATTTGTCTGGATGTATTTTTTGTTTCTCCTATATTATCAAATATTAACATTAACAGCTATATTAGCAAATATTCACTTTTTATTTTTCATAAACATCTAATTTGATTTTAATTAACACTACACATAATTTTTTTAAGTTTAACAAATATGCACATTTTAAAAATCTAAATTAATTTTAGTTAATATTATGCATTATTAAAAAACTTTTATATTTTTCTCCTTGCTATATTAGCAACTGTGCACATTTTGATAACAACTTTTAACATGAACACAAGTTAACATTATGCATTATTTAAAAAATTATATTTTTATTTGTCTGTATGTATTTTTTGTTTCTCCCATATTAGCAAATATAAACATTAATAGCTATATTAGCAAATATTCACTTTTTATTTTTCATAAAAATCTAATTTGATTTTAATTAACTACACATTATTTTTTAAGATTAAATATATTAGCAAATATGCAAATTTTGATAAAAAAACTTTTTTCCATAAAAATCTAAATTAATTTTAGTTAACAATGCATTATTTAAAATATATATTTATTTGTCTGGATGTATTTTTTGTTTCTCCTATATTATCAAATATTAACATTAACAGCTATATTAGCAAATATTCACTTTTTATTTTTCATAAACATCTAATTTGATTTTAATTAACACTACACATAATTTTTTTAAGTTTAACAAATATGCACATTTTAAAAATCTAAATTAATTTTAGTTAATATTATGCATTATTAAAAAACTTTTATATTTTTTCTCCTTGCTATATTAGCAACTGTGCACATTTTGATAAAAACTTTTAACATGAACACAAGTTAACATTATGCATTATTTAAAAAATTATTTGTATTTGTCTGTATGTATTTTTTGTTTCTCCCATATTAGCAAATATAAACATTAACAGCTATATTAGCAAATATTCACTTTTTATTTTTCATAAAAATCTAATTTGATTTTAATTAACACTACACATTATTTTTTAAGATTAAATATATTAGCAAATATGCAAATGTTGATAAAAACCTTTTTTTTCCATAAAAATCGAAATTAATTTTAGTTAACAATGCATTATTTCAAATATATATTTATTTGTCTGGATGTATTTTTTGTTTCTCCTATATTATCAAATATTAACATGAACAGCTATATTAGCAAATATTCACTTTTTATTTTTCATAAAAATCTAATTTTATTTTAATTAACACTACACATTATTTTTTTTAAGTTGAACAAATATGCACATTTTAAAAATCTAAATTAATTTTAGTTAATATTATGCATTATTAAAAAACTTTTATATTTTTTTCTTCTTACTATATTAGCAAATATGCACATTTTGCTGTCAGCTTGGTCACTATTAGCTTTTTAAAGTAATTGGTAAATAATAAACAATGATAATAATAATTATGATGATGGTGATAACTACTACTACTACTACTAATCTGTTATAAATCTTCTAAATCTTTCATTCAATGCCCCAAATAGTTCTGATTTAAAGAGAATCGGTCATGCATATAGGCTATTTCTATTGTAACTGAGGCTATAACGTGTGGATGTAATATCAGAATAGGCAAACGGTAGTAAATAGTCAGTTATTGTCGCACTAATAAAGTATCTTGTCGAAGCACAAATGCATGAGCTTAGCAGCTGCACAAAGTGCAATTCCGACTCCCTCAAAAAACAATTTCTGCTTGTAAAACGCCCCCACAAACAAACCATTCTGGGCTGCGTTTCCCAGAAGCAACTATGGTCGCAAGTTCCGTCGTTACCAATAGAGTTCAATGGAACTAACAACCATAGTAAGCTAACGATGCTTTTGGGAAACGCACCCCTGATAAGTACTCTGAAAAAAAATATCGCATATTGTTTTGGCCCCTCATAAACACGATCCGCGTGACGTGCCTGCAATGTTTTGATTCTGTTGACCGTGACGTCACGCGGTGCACTACACAAAAATGGTTCCTACTTAGTTTTCTATTCAAGCAATCAAAGTGTGCACAACTTTACGCGTTGAATATGGTCCAAATAAAGCGCTGAGGGAATTAACACGGACGAAAGGCTCGGACATGGAGGCGCGTGCGGAATCCGGACGCAAACTGGTGTGTAGTTGAAGCTGTCCTCTCAAAGACGTTTTTAAATCGGGGATTTCAGCCTCACATCGATATGCATTGTGTTTAGTGGCCTAAATCGGTGCGAATCACTGTAATACGAGAATTAGAGCGACATACGCCACACTAGTAGTTTAAATGTAATAACGATCGGCTCGTAATGGTAAACAGGAAAGGACATGTTTCATAATATTACAAAGAGAGCAAGATGCTCCATATACAGACGCTCGTGCGAGACAGCACACATTGTTGCCCCGCGACCCTCGTGTCTAATATTCATCGGGAAGTTTGAACTCGTTCACGCTGATTTGACATGTATTCATTATATAACTGCTGTAAGATGGTCGACGATTAAGGCCTGAATGTTAATCATGGAATTTGACATTCGTGCAAATGATAGAGCATCCCAGCGTTACATCTCACATCCGAGCACAGAATGAGGCAGGTTCTCTTCATCTTCATCTTCATCATATGTTGTTTTCATCCAGCGCTCGACCTGCAGAAGGATGTACGATGAGAACGAGGACTTGTCAGATGTGGAGGAAATCACAAACATCAGGGGCTTCAGTTTGGAGGACAAACTTGAGAGCAATTTATACAACAGTCAATTTGTTCAGTATATGGAGGGAAAAGGTACGTTCTTTTACTTTTTTGTGTGTATATTGCTTATTAGTGCAATTAATAATTATTATATTCTTAAATATTGGGGTTTTTGTTCTCCTATTGGCACCTGCAAATATAAGTTGTATAGTCGTGCTCATCATTTGATATTAAATGGTTGATATTAAAGGCATAGTTCACCCAAAAATGGAAATTCTGTCACTATTTACTCACCCCCCAGTTGTACCAAAACATGTATAAGATTTTTCTTCTGTTGAACATAAAAGATGATATTTTGAAGAATGTTGCTGGTCCCCATTGACTTCCATAGTATGGGAAAAATACTATAATCAATGGGGACCAGAAACTTTTTGGTTATCCATTCTCCAGAATGTCTTCTTTTGTCTTAAGCAGCAGAAAGAAACTCGTACAGGTTTGGAACAACATGAGGGTGAGTAAATGATGACAGAATTTTCATTTTTGGGTGAACTATCCCTTTAATAATGAAGCACTTTTGAACAGGATCATTTGTGTAAATTCTGTTTTTTAGTTTTGTCTTGTGGAATATATGTAAATATCTGTTATGTCAAATAGCATCCAGTGATTGAAACTAATCTTTCTGACAATTATAAATTGTGCCTACAGTACATAGTTTATTTACAAAATTAAAATTGTATTATATTTGAATAGATTAGTTTTAGTGGATAGTGAAGAAAAAGCAGCCAAAAGTGACCAGCATTCATATGAACCTCTTGAGTGTGGGTTTATATATAAGAAGATCGATCACTATATTATTCCCAATCTGCTATTTGAGTTGTTTCATAGTTTTGATGACTTTACAATTATTTGAAAATGTGGAAAATTGTCATAATGAATGAGAAGTTGTGTCTAAAGTCTTGGTTTACATGTAATACTTGGGTCATTCATATACTCTCTATTTTAAAATCCAGGGATTTGTTTTTTAAACACAGTCTAACTTTTAGCAACCACTTCTTTTGTACCATCCTAGATTTTACTTATGAATATGTTCAAAGAGAGGCACTGCGAACTCCACTCATATTTAAAGCCAAAGATGGACTGGGAATTAGGTAAGAGCAAGTAAAACGGTTTTTATTTCAGATAGATTCATACTTTTTACATTGTGAATCGCTCATCTGAATTGTTTCATGCACTACAGAATGCCGGATCCAGCATTTACTGTAAGTGAAATCAAGGGTTTGGTTGGTAAGTACTATTAAATTTTTTTTTCCATCTAAAATGAACAGGCACAGTTGTTTGACTGTAATCAGATGAAAAGCAGTAAAACGTTTTGATAACATTGTTAAACTTTACTTTTCATTTCCATTGTCTTTTATTGCGTTTTCTCTGTTTTATACCTAACCAGGCCTTGCATTATGCATGAACAGGACAATGTTCTGCTGCTGTATTATGAAACTAAACACATGCACCATGTCTGTTCTGTGTGCTGGTATTATAAAGAGTACATATGCACTAGTTTATCTGGCTGATCAATTTGATGTTGTCATGCACATACATACAAAGTCCATCTTACTCCTTATTAGGGTTGAGGAAGAATGTAAGCTGTCTGAGCTTTGTATTTACTCACAGATTTATGGCCTGTACATTGATTTATGATGCTGGTAAATAACTTTGTAATTATCTGTGTATTAAGAGGGTAATGAATAAAAAACAGTGAGGAATATTTATTGGCTGTACATTTTAGAAAACAAAGGTTCCAGTTAGAACCAAAACGTTTAAACTTAGTTGTATAACTTCACAGCAAGACCTGCTCAGAAAATACAAAAATTGATTAATAGCAAACTTTACGTCCTCTTGTGGTGATACTATGCATCTGCAACTCAGTATAGGCCATGGCATGTGCATCTGAGTCCTTAAAAAAAATGTTCTTTTCATAATGATTTTAGGTAACACTTTATTTCGATAGTCCACTTTAGACATTCTACTAACAGTAAGTAACTTTGCAACTACATGTCAACTAGCAGTCATTAGAGTATTACTAGACTGTCTTGCTTAATATATTCTAACACTTTATTTTGATGGGTCCACAACATACAACATACTGACTATGACAAACTTTGCAAGTATATGTCAGTTTATTCTACTAAACCTAAACCTAACCTTACAGTCTACTCTGAAAGTTAGTAGACATGTAGTTGCCAATTAATGAGAATTAGTTGACATGTAGTTACAGAGTTACTTATAGTTAATAGAATGTCTAAAGTGGACTATTGAAATAAAGTGTAACCTGATTTTAAATCAGGTACCTATGAAAGCCTGTTCTGCCACAGAATAAAAACATGAAAGCAATTGTGATTTATTTTTTTGAAATATTTCTGAAAAATCTGAAAATTCTGACATTTTTCTCAGAATTCTGAGTTTACATGCATAAAGAAATGCCAGAGATAAACTCAGAGTCATAATACTGAGAAAAAAACGTTTTTTTCCCTTGGAGTAGCAAGGGAATCGCAGCTCTGACTTTTTCTCTCAGAATTTCAAGAAACAGTCTGAATTTTAAGATAAGAGACACAATTTTTTGTATTTGTTTATTCTTTGGTGGAAACAAGCTTCCTAGGTTCCTTAATCCATTACAGTATAATTAATCTCGCTTCAGCATGAAAAACTAATTTTAATAGAAATATTTATTCGAAAGAACTTCTTGTATTGGAGAGGAGTAGCCTATCGAGTGGTAAAGTGCTTGTCTCTGCATGGATGTTCAGGCAGCAGGCGAGCTGTTGACGTGATGGATGTTAGCACACAGAAGGGCTCAGAGATGAGCATGGCACAGTTCGTCCGCTACTATGAGACGCCTGAGGATGAACGTGACAAGCTGTTCAACGTCATCAGCCTGGAGTTCAGTAACACCAAACTGGAGAATTTGATCAAGAGACCAACTGTGGTAAGAGACATGGTCGTTTTTTTTGGTTGATTTGTCGCTTTTCAACATTCATTTGCTCTAAAATGCGCAGTTGCCATTTAAACATGATTTAAGATGACATTGTGACTGCAGTCTTTTCTTCAAAGTATCATACATGTCAGTAGGTGTGAATGTAATTGGGTAGATGAGAGCAGGTATACTAGTAATGCTCCGCTCAATAAATTAATTAGTAATATCAAGTCAAATAAATTAGTAATAATTTATGGCCCAGTGATATTTGCCAATGCCATTCAATCTTAATACCTTCATGCAATTTTGGGGTATTTTATTTGCAATAAATAAAAAATAAAAAATTCAATGTGATGAATATTTGAAATAAAGCTAAAATAAAATACAAATATTAGCTGAAGAGCTTATTTTAGTTAGTTGCCAAGTCAACATTTCTAATTCCGTTTAGGTTGAGTCACTAAAATTACTTACTGGAAATAAATAAAAACTAAAACTGAAATAAAAATAAATTAAACCTAAATTGTAATATTTTAATTAAACCAGAACTAAGGGAAAAATGACAAAAGCACATAACAGAATTACTATAAATGTAAAAAGAATTGCTATGAAACTAAAAGTATAAAAATAAAAGCTACTTACAAATTTGAATAACAACTATAATAGTATATCAGTAATACTAAAATAACTGCACATGCAAAGGGCGACTGTTAATAATAATAAAGTGTGGAAGTTAGAATTTCAGTTATTGTTGTAAATTAATCTAGTTGTTAAGCATTTAAAAACTTCCTTTGTATCTTTGGGTTTTAATGTTTCTTATGCCCGTCGTTTTATTTTAACGTATTTCTGATTGTCTTTAGGTGGATCTGGTGGATTGGGTGGACAATATGTGGCCGCGGCATCTTAAACAGAAACAAACCGAAACCACAAACGTCATGTCTGAGATGAAATATCCCAAAGTTCAGAGGTAATATTTTAGTTAATTTTTGGAAAACAATTAGGAATAGACCTTTTTCCAAAGACTGTGATGACGCATTTACTGTTATTACCATTAAAAAAAAACCTCAGTTTTTTATTTTTTCCTTTTTTTAAAAATGTAATGTACATTTATTTCACTATACTTTGTGTTATATTATGTTGGCATTAAATTACAGACACATACAAAAGACACACATTAAATTATCTCTCAATATTTTTCCTCTTTTGTAAAGTAACAGAAATGCTATTGTGGATTTTTTTCTATTAGTATTAGATAGGGCTGCACGATTAATCGAATGCGATTGTCATGCGCATTCCTTTGGATGGAGATTTACTGCTGATCACAGAACCGTGCTTCACTGAAAGATACGCATGACGATCGCAGCTTCTGTCGAATCGCGATCTCGATTCCATTTCGATTTATCGTGCAGCCCTAGTATTAGAGCAAATGGGAATGCAAAAATTATATTTGTTGTAGTTTCTGTTCACCACTACCCAACTTTGACTACTTCCGCTTCTGAGAATCCCAGAAATGTGAAAAGGGTCCATTAAAGCCAATGCTTTCCCCCCTAGTGTGTCCTGAGAAATCACAGGCTCTCTGACGAGTTAGGCTCTGTAAATGGCAAAAAAAGGACTGGAGAGAAGAAGAAAATTTGCCATTTGGAGATCATTATTATCATTATTATTTTTGCAATTTTATGTGCATGTTTCAATGCCCATAAAGGTTTTGTTGCTCTTCTGTCTGCTCCGATTTCCCTTCAGGAAGTATTTTGGCTTTCTGACACAGTTCAAAGCTTGTTGAGTCGATCTGAAATCCTGCGTCAGTCAAAGATGAGGTCTGCTCATCTCCCACAGTCCCTTGTTTTGCTCCTCGGCGCATGCTGCGCATTTCTTTGGCCTGCAGCTGGCTGTGACTCCATCAGGTTGCTAGGCAGCACACTTCTATTGCGGAGAAGAGGCGGATCTTCACGGGCTGCTGCAGTATCCCAATGAATCCTCCTTAGCCAATCAGAATATCGCATGGGAGTATTTCCTCCACAGGAAAGCCCACTCTCTCTCTCTTTCTCTCTTTCTCTATCTCACTTTCCCTTTGACTCCCTCCTCCTGACTCTCTGTATTCATTGAGCTCTTTATAAAGGAAGAATTCAGCGCTAAAAGTCACTTCAGTTCTCCTCTTTTGAATTACACGGGCAGATGTCAGAACGGTAAAGTGCTTCAAATGGGGATGAACATTTTCTGGGTATGTGTCTTTTATTTCACTGAAAACTATGGTGTGATAATTTAAAGAATCCTTTAGAGGTCTTATTATGGTTTGGTATAGTTTGCTCAACTTTCTTTGCTAGTTTTATGAAAGCGTGACCAATAATTTGTGGTCTTCTACTTATGGTTATGCGGTCTGGTGAAACACATGTTTGTGAGGGTTGCATGTGTGGTCTGAAATTTTATAAGCTCACGCAGCATGTTTGTGCACATCATGGTTATAGTTTTGTTTTGGCTGCTTTGGTGCATCATCCCTCTCACTGACTGGATGACACTGGCTGCAACGGTCACCGTTTGAGTTATCTATGTTCATATAACAGAATTATTGATGCATTTCTTTCTGCTTTGGTGTCATTATACATGTATACAGTTATAGAATATGAAATGCCGCTCAAGTAGCCAGAAAATGCAATTCTGCACAAAAATAAGATGTGGCAGGAGATGAAGAGTCAGATTTAAATATTATATTATTTAAATATAATGTATAATATTATATTTGTTTACTGTTTCACATGGGGCTTTATATTAATTGATACAATTTTTTAAAATAACATTTTATATTAATGCTAAATTTGTTTTTATTAACTTTATTATTATTTAAAAAATTATTTAAATTAATATTAAAATTCTATTAATATGTTACACAAGGGGCCATTTTTATATTAATGTTACACATATTTTTAAAATAAAATAAAAATATTTAAAAATGTTACATTTAGTTTTTTAGTTAATATATTAAATTATATTTAAGTTCTTACATATATTATTATTTTATATATATTATTAAAATTCTATTAATATGTTTAACATGGGGTAATGTTAAAAAAAATGTTTTAATAAAAAATTTAAATACTTCATAATGTTATGTTCATAATATTTTCAAATTAGTTTTTTATAATATTTTATTAATATTAAAAAAAAAAAACTTTTTTATTAATATTAAAATTCTGTTAATATTACATTTTTATTTTAATAGTCACAATAATTATGTCATGACCTCCGTGACAAAGTGTTTAAATCCATAAAAAGGGGTCATTATTACTGCATTATTAGGCCTTTTGTGAGGGTACTATGTAGTCATTAATTATTTATTCATAACCTTTCATCGAAGAGCTCCAATTATAGGATGTAACCTCTGAGGGTTCAGGTTGCAAGGTATTACCCTAGTGTTACATGCTGCAGCCTGCAGTTAATGAGTCTAAGAATGCTTTTGCCTTGTTTGTATTATGGAACACATCTGGATTCAAAGTGCTCAATGTGCTTGTTTGTTGATGCTGTGAGTGACATCATCTGCCATTTACACTGCCAGAACTTCAGCTGACACAGTCTGATGTGCAAAACTGTCTGGTAATAATTCAACAGTCAGCTACATTTCTAACCATTGTGAAATCCTTACTTTGGTGACCCTAAATGTAGAAGTCTCATTTCTCAGGCCCTCAACCATCTGGGCTTGCCTAAATTGATGCCTAATAATTTTTTAGTTCACGACGCCCAGCGGTGAGCGATGCCTTTTGCTCATTAGAGCTAACGGATTTCTTCACTTACTTCTTCTCCCGGCTCAGTGGGACAGATTTTAACCAGACACTGAGGCAGTTTGGGGTTTGATTAATTTCGCTCCTTGCTAAACGCTGCGGATGACAAATGCATAAGCCGCAAATAGCTTCCATCCCTGTTCTGGTGCTGAGATGGCTTCATCTGAAACAAACCCATGTCCATTACTATCGTTCTGTATGTTCTGAGAGAGAAATTAGCCTTGATTTATTGCTGAAACAATTTTTTTTTGAAATCATAATATTTTGCTGAGCTTTGATAACGCTGTTGATTGAGAAGGGGAAATTCCACTGTGTATGGTTTTGAAGGTAATATTCATTTTGAGTTGGGAGTTGAACATTTCCATGGTGTGGTTACTCCCAGTTGCAAATGCAATCTTTTTTGTCAGGACTTAGAAACCGCATTAGGGATATATCGTTCGTCTCTATTTATGCAGATGTTGCGAATCACCATTGTACTTTCCCTGTTTCTCTCTTTCTGTAGATACTGTCTGATGAGTGTAAAAGGCTGTTTCACTGACTTCCACATCGACTTTGGCGGCACATCGGTATGGTACCATGTCTTCAAAGGAAGGAAGGTAAGTGTTTGGTAGTTAGTGGTGCTTTTACTATTATTATTATTGGCCATACTTGGGGTAGGGGTTTGTTTATGCTATTACTTTCAAAGCTATTATGATTTTCTGCAGGATTGTCTTTGCTTGTGATCTGTAAAGATCAGGTATCTAGAGGCCCTGTAAATGAATCTCTTTCCAGTTTGCATTGTTGCATCGCCGCTGGGGCTGCAGCGTCAGCAGAAATGGTGCTTGTGTATGTGTGTGTGTGCGTGTGTGTGCGTGTTAGGTGGAGGGTATCAAATAATAACCGCTCTGAAAGGTCAAAAAGGAGTGGTGGCTTGTGCAAGAAAGACGAGAGTGACACATGTATGACTGAAGGAACTTCTAGGAAGAGTTGTAGGAGTTTATGCCTGTTATGTAACCCTCCTGCTTTCACAAGAGAATTGAACCAATTTCACTTGCAAAGAAATTGCAAGGTTATCAGCTTAGTAATTTTTTGTCATACAACATACAGTGGGGTCCAAATGTCTGAGACCATTAGTAAAATGCTTTTATTTAGCATGTTTATTATTTAATACAATTTTACATTACATATTTTGGTAACACTTTACAATAAACCTCCTTAGTTTATTCTTCTAAACAAGCATTAATTAATCATAGTTAATGTTAATTGCAACATGTACTAATACATTTTTTAAATCAAAACTTATCTGTTAATATTATTTAATAAACCTGAACTAACAACAATGAACAAACAATGAACAGGTGTATTTTTATTAACTAACATGAACAAATATTCATAAATACTGTAACAAATGCATTGTTCATTGTTAGTTAATGCATTAACTAAGGTCAACTAAGAAAGGTTATTTATTGTAAAGTGTTACCCACATATTATTAGCTAATATTAATAGTAACAATTTAAAAAGCAGACTAGAAATAGTAAAGTATTTTTTTTTTTATAAATCCTGAAACTTTCTGATGATTTCCAAGTATAAATAAAATAAAACTTTTTGACCCAACTGTATGTCTGCTTATTAATTCAATTTGTAGACATACAGTCTTTTTGTAGCATTTTTGTATTATAGATTTGATCAAGAATTGAAGTGAAAAATTCTCAGTTGCCACCTAGAAATCTTCATAAGTACAGAATCTTCCTAAGTTTGTCATATTGTTTCTTTGTTTTAATGTTAATGTTTAATGTCCTACAACTTTGTAAACTTTGTACTTTATTTATTTCTTTGTATAAATTAAAACAGTGGGTCAGACTTTTGGACCACAGTGTCTGTTCGTGAATAAATGGAAGAGATAAATAACTTGCACATAAAGGATTAATGCTGACACGAGTTTGTGAATTATTAATTTCAAAGAAGAAAAATCATATCCCAGTTTAGAATCACACCTGCATTTCTCTCTCTCTTGTTCTTCAGGTCTTCTGGCTGATTCCTCCAAGCCCACACAATCTGTCTCTGTATGAGGACTGGGTGCTGTCAGGCAAACAGAGTGATATCTTCCTGGGTGACCGTTCAGACAGCTGCCAGCGAGTAGAGCTCAAACAAGGCTACACGTTCTTCATCCCTTCAGGTGACGCACTGAGCTTGAGTGTATATATTTAAGGAAAACGGAAGAGGATGGCGGTGGCAATGCCAAGGTCATGGGTTCGATTCCCAAGGAATGCTTGAACTGATAAAATGTGTACCTTGTATCCAGTGAAAGTCGCTTTGGATAAAAGCGTCTGCCAAATGCTGAATTGTAAATGTAAATTTTTGTTATTGTTTACTCACCTTCATGTTGTTCTGAACCCCCATGCTGTTTTCTGTGAAGCACAAAAGGAGAAATTCTGAAGAATCTTTACAAAGCTCTTTTCAATACAACAACAGTTCTTCATCATTGATTGTCTGTCAAGTACAAAAGAAGCACAATTAAAGCCATCCCTTTGACATTTGTGCTGTATTCCAAGTTTTATAAAGTCATACAATACTTTTTGAGAGGAACAGACTGAAATGTAAGTAATTATTCCACTGAAATGTCATTCGTGTTTGTGCACGGATTTAAGAAAATAGCGGCAGGTTTGACTTTAGTGACGTGCATACGATGAAGAACGGAGAATGACATTATGAGAGCAGAAGATTTTTAAGCCCTTGTACATTTTCTTTCCTGAAATTGAGCATTCATATTTTTGCTCTCGTGTGTGTAGGTTGGATCCATGCCGTCTACACTCCAGAAGACACCCTGGTGTTTGGCGGGAATATTCTACACAGTTTTAACATTCCCATGCAGCTCACTGTCTACGAAATTGAGAACAGAACAAAGGTAAAGCATTCATTTAAAAATATAGATAGTTTGATGATTTATCAGCCAGCGTTTAGGGATCTGTCTTTTTAATTTGATGCATGTGGAAGGGAATTCTGATCAATGTGCATCTTTCGGAAGTTGTTTCCATGTACAATATTTATGAGTATATAGTACAAAGTGCTGGGTAGATTACTTACAAATTGTAGTCCGTTACTGATTCCAAATTATGTGACAAAAATTGTAGTCAGTAACGGAATCCATTACATTTAACATTTTAAGTAATATAATCAGACTACTTTTTGATTACTTTGTTTTGACCTAACTCGTTTATTACATTGTTTTAAGTAGGATAATCTTGTACCATACTGATATAAAAATACAAAGAGAAAGAAAATTCTTTGTCATATGATGTTGCTAAAAATAACATTTATTTTGTGTATTTGGTGTAATGCAATGTGTTTATGCGGTTTAAGGTTAAAAAAACACATTATTTTCCACATTGTACATTATTGTTTCTCCTCTATGCCCCGCCTTTCTGAAACGCGTCGATTTTTACAAAGCTCATCGGTCTGAAAAGCGAGGTGTACGCTGATTGGCCAGCTATCCAGTGCGTTGTGATTGGCCGAATACCTAAAGCGTGTGACGGAAATGTTACGCCCCTTACCATACTGTGATGCCGTGTCCCGGCCGGTGCGACGAGACAAAACCAATTAAACCCATTACAAACGAGGGATTTGTTTTATCCAGTGGGGACATATTTACAGATTATAATGATTTATACTGTGTTTTTACGCGTTGCGTTGCGTATCGCGCCATGTAAACATAAAACCATGTCTGCATTTGTGATCGGAGAAATGACAAACAACAAGCGCTACTCTACACTGCTCAAAACTCGCGTTTGAATCATCAGTGGCAAATTCTTTAAATATGAAAACATACTTACAGGCTGTGAGTCAGAAGCGCCAGACTGTCCTTGCAAAGTTGGAATTGCCCCACTTTAAAGAAAAAACCTTTGTGTACAGCATTGTAGTCTACTCTCCCAGGTTCAGGAAACAGTCCTCCATAAAATGCGCTGCACACATCTGAATATTTGGGTTGAACTGTTCTGGAACAGTGTTGTAAATACAACTTAACCACTGATTTCTCGTTTTGTCCTCTTTTGGAAGGCCAAACAAAGTAGTTTCGCTTTCACAACGAAACACACAGCGTCTCCACGACATGGCGGCGGCGGCAGCAACAATACTACAGCGAGAATCAAAGTTACACCTTCTTTCTTTGCGTGAACATTTGGGCGGTGTTATGCAAATCTTCCCACACAGTGACGTAGACATGTGGGGGCGTGTTTAAACGAGGCCTTTTAGGAGGGCGTGGACGAGTCTTAACTTTTATAAAGAATATCTCTTTAGGTTTGAGACTTTAGTCTTTGCAACTTTAGGGATCTTATCTATGCACGAACAGCTTGTAACACTCCAAAGAGAAAGGAAAACTTGAAATTGCATCATATGACCCCTTTAACAAGATGAAGTGCATTAAACGTAACATTACGTCAAAGTTTCCCAAACTGGGGTTTGTGAAGAAACTGCAGGGGGTTTGTGAGTTTAATGAAAAGCTAATAAATAATAACAAATTTAAAATTTAATAATTTTATGATCAAAATAAGCACTTACTAAAAAAGATGAAATGTTTTATTTGTTTTCCTGCATGCCATGTGACCATTAACCAACGTCAGAGAACCATAAACATGCAAATGTCATACTTAATTATTAACTGATTACCTTAAAATCTCAAGTAAATATATTAGGTGAAAGAGTTTCAGCTGACAAAAAAGTTTGGGAATCACTGCATTACATGTAATTGTAGTCTGATTATGATTATTATAAAATGTAATATAATTTAATTACAAGTACTTAATTTTTGGAACCTGATTACGTTATCCAGACTACATGTAATCAGATCTAATTGTAAATGCCATTTATATTGAGACTGGTACTTGATGCTATAGATGTGGTTTCAGTTTTTTGAGACAAAAAGGACCATCTTTTCCCTGTAGCATCACCAGAACCTCACCAGAGTGTGATCCCAAACTGCATAAATTTGAGAGGATTGAGCCTAAAACAAGATTTTAGGCAAAAATTCAAATATTAATTTTTTTTGCTTCTGATTGGCTCGGATGCTTACCGTAAAAAGGCTGTTTTAGCGACAGCACTGGACACCTTTGATGTGTTGTGACATTTCAAAGTGACAAACCAGTTATGGTCGCTCACTTTCTGCTAGCAGAAGCTCCAGGACACTTTGATGTGCTTTGCAGGGCTTAGAGCCGGTGGGCCAGGCTATTTTTATATTTGCTAGACAGAGCAGCCAGAAAAGAAGACAGATCGTGGCACTGGCTATGTTGTTCCAGGGGCTGCATTATTGCAGTGCTCTAAATTTAGCGCTGGCTGAAGGAGGTATGAGGGAATGAGAGCACAAGCCCTCCATAACTCTGAGAATGCGAGTTTCCTCCCTGGAGAGGAGCCGGAATGGAAAGATGTGTGCATGAGAAGCATCTTAGTCATGTTGTCGTTTTTCTCATACTGCAAGAGCCATCTATTATGAAGCCAGTTATATTAGTTTTATATGTAGGTTTTAGGTTCAACTTTATAGTAAGGTTTAATTTCTTAACATTAGTTAATGCATTAGGTATCACAAACAATGAACAGCAATTTTTACAGCATTTTAAAATGTAGGTTAATGCTAATTTATAATGTACTTATTCATAATATATTAACTCATGGTAATGTATACAACTTGAAATCTTAAAAAAATGTATTAGTTTATGTAGAAGTTAGGGCTTCAAGATTAATCAAAATAAAACCATAATCACAAAATAGCTTAGTGTTATTATCAAATCAAATTAATTAAATCAATATATATGCCGCTTGTCACACTGAAGTATGGCACTGTTTAAAAAAAATTATATAATTTTAAATATTAGATTTTTAATCATTTACAAAGATATTACAATATTAATATTTCTTATTTTTATAGTAGCAGTAATAATAATATTTTATCATTTTAATTTTATTTTAATAATGATGATAATGATGGTAACAAAAATAATAATTATAAAATTAAAAAATAAATATTTTACTACTACTACAAAAAACAAAAAACAAATAAATATAATAATAATAATAATTTATTACTTTAATTATTATTATAGTTAAATTTATATATAATGTGTTGGAGAGGTACGTGAACTGCTTGACCAGACGTTCGCACCTGAGCCTGGAGTTTGGTGTTCACGCTGGTGAGTTGGCTAAACTGACAGCAATTTGCAGTGACAAACGTAATCAGAAGTCATTTTCCAGTGACGGACAGCGTTGACAAATGCACAGTAATGTGATCTGCCAACTACTAATGGGAGCGCAGACGTGAAGCTTGCACAATCTACCAATACACTGATACAGAATGTCGGCTAGCAACCAAAAGAACAGCAACTTGGTGACATCCTGCAAATTAATCAAAGAGCACTCCCTTTATAATCACACTTTACCAATTAGTGATTGGCTCTTTTATTCAGAAGGTGGGGCTTCCTTCAATAGAGCAGCCATATTGAGCATTGCATTTTTCCTCATTCAAAACTATAGGAGTGACACGTCTTGGGTATTCTACAGTCTTTGCAGGAGGTCTGGCGGTTTTGAGCGGTGAGTAGATTCTAACTTAAACATCTCTGAATGGCCATCGCGTTCCAGAAATCAACAGATATGTCTGTGATTGGCTACATTGCTCAACACTGCAAACACGTTACAAATGGAAACTTAATCGTTTTTATTTTATATTAGTTGTTCTTGTTGCTTTTCTACAATAGATGAATAACAATTTATTTGTTTTTAGATATTTTATGTTAAGATATTTCTTTTTTGCGGGAGTGCCACAAATCATTTTATTATGCCGCATCCCGCACACACAAGTCTCTACCCGCCCGCACCCACCCATCAAGTCTTGTCCCACGCTGCACTCTGTTGTGTTGGGCACCGTGGGAGTGCAGGTCTCTAGTGTAAACTGCAGAAACGATCCATAAATTTATCCATTTTAATCACTCTTACTGAACTCCACCAGTAGTGAGCCAATCTACTAAGTGAGCCCTTCTTTGCATTTTCAATCTCAGAAAGTACATGCAAGTTCCCATGTTTCCTAATTTCAGTCATACCACTCATCAAGATGATTCCTAGGATTGCTCAAGGCCTCGTCTGGTCTTTGTGTAATTTTTGGTGATTCGTTTTCTCTTCTGATTTTTATTTAGCTGAACCCAAGCTTGTAACTGAGAGTCTCGTCTCTGCTCCTCGGCTGGATATGGAGGAGGACTCGTGTGAGGCGCGGTTAGAGAGGACAGAGGGGACGACCCAGCCCTCCTCAGCTGTCTCTCCCTATCAGACCTTCAAATCACCGGCCAATGATTCTGAAGACAGCTTCAAGTCCCTGCCTTTAGAGTGTCCCAAGACTCCGTCTGGCTCACCTGGAATGGAACATTCCGGCAAATGGACCCACTTGACAGAGTTTGAGTTGAGTGGACTCAAGGCCTTGGTGGAGAAGCTGGAATCCCTTCCGGAGACAAAGAGATGCGTTCCAGAGGGCATCGAAGATCCACAAGCACTGCTAGATGACGTGAAGGTCTTTATACATTTTCCACTTGTCATTTGTTTTGTCTCTCACTCAGTGCCTTGAATTGACATCACGATTACTGCTGCCTGACTCCGTTTTTCTTTTCACAAGGAATAATAAATGGAAGTAAGCACCTGCTGGGTGGTGCGGTGTAGTTGTAGACCTAGACTTGTAGGTTCAGGTAGTAGGTTCAGACCCTTGCAAGAAACAATGCATTGCAATGCACTCAAAGTAAGGTTGTTGCATTAACTTACGGCGACATTGTGCATGGCTACACCAAGTCCAAGCCTTCAACATTAAAAACATGCACAAGATTTTAAAACAAATCAATGCATTTCTTTTAACTCCTTTATACCAAATCTGAAATATACGGTTATCTGTTTTATTTAAATTTGTAGGCTCATTTGTAGGCAATTATTTGAGTTAAATATTTCAAATATGTTCAAAAATATTCAAATATTTTAAATTATATTACAAATAATAAAGTATAATTTATTATGTATTAAAACACAAAATATTTGCACACCAAATATTTTCGCACACCAAAACTATTCGCAATTTTTTTGATTTTCATCATCAAAAAAAATAAAAAAATAAAATACAATAAAAATAGTGTCTGAACTTTTTTTTATATAGGCTATATATTTTATGTTGTTCTCAATTTTGTTTTATGTCTGCTTCTTGAACAGGTTGTGCTGAAGGAACATGCAGATGACAATCCAAAGTTGGCTATCACTGGTTCACCTATTGTATGCTGGCCGAAGAAGACAGGCAAGGTATGAATGTTTATGCAGAGTGATTAGAAACATTAGTATGTGGCTGAGCAAGATTGTTTAACCTAATTTTAAGGTCATTAATATGATTTACATATTGCAATGTTATCGGTTAATTATACTTTAGAGTAAGACAGATATGGATCAAAACGTGTTATGAAGGTTTTGCGGTCTCCATTCCTTCCTAATTTTGCCCCCTTCAGATTCATGGTTGATGTTGAAATTAAGAATACGTTTAGAGGATTTTTGTTTTAAATGCCCCTTTTTGTTGTTGTTGTATTACCAAAATAGTTGTGTTGTGAGGTGTAGATTCTGTGGAAATATTATTTGCAAAGGCAAAGCGGAACTTTGCCTTAGTATTTCACTGGAATGATGAATCAGCTTCAGACACAAGGGAAGTGTTGCCAGTCCCCCAAAATTAGACCTGACCAATCACACGCAAATCTGCGCTTATAGACTTGTTTTAGTTTATTTCCCTATTGACTGTGACACACGCGATTGGATGTTGGCTTTTGTTCTCCCCCCACTTCACAACTCTAAAACTGTCTCGACTACTAAGCCCAGCTGCTGAATTTTCGCCTCCATTGTGTCTGTCTTTTGTAATAAAATACCATCTGTTCTTATACTGCCCCAACTGGCCTCTCTTCTTTACCCCATGACCCTGTTTGATCACTTCTGTTCTGCATGCTCGCTTCCTATTGGTTGTGTCTAAGCTGTGTTGGTGCATATTAAAGAGCCTGTTTTGCATATTGCACACCCATTGGCTCTGCCGCTCTCCTCTCCCCTCCCACTTCTTGGAACTCCCCCTGTTGCATATTCATGAGCATGTCTTGCGCTAGCCTGTGTGTTCTGATGGCTAAGGAACAGAAGGGAGGGCTGTGCCGTCTCGCAGCCAGTAGCAAGCCAGAGCTGCAGCCATGTCAGTTAGCTAAGCGCTGAGAGGACTCTAAGAGCCATGGCCATGTCGCTGATCGCTGACGAGGAGGATTATGAGAACTCGGATGCTGAGCAGGTAGTAACGTTGAGCCTATGGGTCCTTATTCTCAAGAACAGAAGATGCAATAGGTTGCATGTAGCAGTTATTTGTGTATATTTGCAAGTGTAACTGAAGTACACGTGATAAGTGAGCTGTTAGAGCTGTCAGAAATGTTTATGGTGAGCACTGATAACTACATATGACTAACACACGAGTTCAGTTTTGAGCCTGGTGCTCATTTTGATCCAGTTTGACATTGTTTGATGTTTATTTTGCAATAGTAAGGTCACATTTTTGCCATTTTTCTCACTGAACTGGAATGAATATCTCAGCAGGTTGTTGAAACATGAACCTAAACTAGCATTTCTTGATGCTGTAAGATCTTGTTAGGTACTTTCAGAAGTTGCAGATGAAAGTGAAATCAGTGACACTTCATTTGTGGAAGCTGTGATATTACTATGTGATATGATAGTCATGCTATGTTAGCCACTACAAATGCTTTCTAACAGTCACAGTTGATGTTTTAATGCACACTGCAGTGTTTCAAAGGCGTGTGGTTTCTTTCAATACTTTGCATATGTCTGTTTGTGCGGCTGCCCACGTGAGACTCTCCCATCGCTTGTTTTATGCTTGCGGTTGGGCGAATCTTTGATTCTCTTCCAGGGAATCCTTTTGTATTCCTCTTCTGTTGAAAAACTACAAATGCATTTAGCTCCAAATGCTGTCGCCACTGAGGAAAGGATGCAGCTGCTAGATTATCGTCATTTAATCCTCCATCATTAGGATGAAATCCATCTTTGTGGCTTTTGTAAAAACGTACAAAAGTATGTTTGTCCGATTGCATACATTTTTACTCTCACCGCTCGTTCCAGATAATTGTATAGATCATTGTGTTATTCAACTTCCTCAATTTCCAGGATATTTTTAACTGTTTTGGCCACAGCCCAACAAGGGCCTCTTTGAGCCGGTCCTACAAGATGAGCGCATGGGGGAGGGGCGGGACAAAGAACCAACGTGAGTAAAAACAGTCCAGACATGTTCCTGTTGTGAACATATTTAGTCCTGGACCTGTAGTTATGAAATTATAGGTGTATACTGAATCAGACATAATTTTTTGGGATATTAGATCTTGCATACATCAATACATCTGGTCTTGGATGCTATTTGACAGTGTATTGGTGTAATATCTGCCAAGGAGATATTGGTAAACCACTATTTAAACCTTAAAACACTTTCTTATTTACTAACTTGTCAAGTGACTTTCTTGGGGGCGTAGTAGTGATCAAGCTAGTTTTTGGTTTGTATTAGTAAATCTCCAGTTTCTTGGTCACCTCTTCTTAGGACTGGCTCTGCAACGTTTGCATTTGTTTTTGTATTGTTATATTATTCGCCCCCAGTGAAAAGGCTTTATTTTGCTGATATCTGCCTCGTCAAGTTTTGTGAGTTTAGTGTTAAATATCAAGTGTAACTTCACACCCTACCAATTAAATTTGCCTTGCCATCTCTGCAGCTGGGTGTGATTTGTGATTTTTGCTGTTGTTTTTGCAGTATAATTTTAATGAATATTAATTTGGATAATGTTCTTAACAAATAGGACAATTATTAAATAATTAAATAAAAAAATAAAATAAAAAAATAAAAATCACCATTTATTTTAGCCAACATCCAATAGTTCCAAAAGAAGAATGTTATCAGCAAAACGGATAAACGATGAGTTGGTTGACCTCTACTTGGAAACTTTGATTTTGGGTGATGGTCTTGTGGGACCGTTAATGAATTTTCAAGGTCCTTTCTTTAATCTGGGTGAAACCAGCTCTTACAAATGCAAACTCACGACATCCAACACATTAACAAGAGATATTAGATTTGGCCTGGAATGTTTTTCCCACTGGCAGCCACATAACTGTCTCCCTCTTCACCGGCTCTGCTGACCACATGCCTGTATTTGTGCTTCTGTTTTCCTCCATCTCGGTTTCATAACACATCACATCTGAGATGTTGTGAAACAGCAGTTTCAGTTTTCTGATATTTGTGGACAATTTCAAGAACTCAACAACAACAGTATGTATGTGGTTGTCATTTTTTTTCTTTCATTTCATCCACGTAGGAAAAACTAATGTGAGGCAAAAATCAATTCTACTACCAGCATCAAATTCAAAGCTCTGTGCAAACAGGACTTTTGACTCTGACTGAAGAGCTAATTTCAACTCTCTGGGGCAGAGGAATCCACTTAGACTGTTTAAAAGCAATGTACTTATTGAGGAGGTGGGGTTGAACTTTCCCCCTCTGGCTAATGTGATTGTTCATGTTTTCCTCTCCATTACTGAAGGTTCCTAATGAGGGTGGAGGCCAAATTCATTCTCATCAATCACCCTGTGTCCCATGGTGCCGTAGGAAAGTCTTGCTGTGGGTGCTGGGACAGGCATGGCTTCTGCTTGATGTAATGGGGACATGGCAGCCCATGGGATGTGGAATATAGCTGTTTGAAGAATAATTCCCTTTGACTTTCTTGAGAGTATATAAGTGTGTATGTATTAAGCTTACTTATGATTTATAGTCTAAATGCACTGTTGCCATTTTGGCCTGATGGCCAAGAATAACATAAAAGACGAGTAAAAGCTCTATCAAAAAGGAAACAGAATCAATAATGGAAAGTGCTTCACATCAAGGAGATCAAATGGCAAACATAAATACACTTATATTCATTCTGACATCCCTGCTACTGCTGCTGTTTCTCCTCTGTTGCATAACACGGCTAAATCGGTGTTGGAATATTTGTGTTTCTAAGGAAACACAGTTTACGTTTATGAGAAATGCTGTTAGGAATAATATTCGTTGGCTGGTTTAATGCATGTTCCTGCAGCTGTATCCTGACTTATTGTTCTTTAATTGACTCATAATTAATAACAACAGGGAATGTCCTCCAACTTTACTTGACTGACACTGTGGGCAGATTTTATCAGTATTCACAGAGTAGTAAAAATGCTTTCTCATGTTCAGTGCTGCTGTTCTCCTATTTTTGTTCTTTAAAGTGCCTTGAGGGCATATAAACAATTTGAATAACTGCACATACAACTAAATCTGAACCATATGAACCCACTTTCAGAGTGTGGGGTCTGAAAGTCGATAGGTCTATGTTCATTATGTTTGCATTCCCTTGACTGTGTGGCATTGCATTGCATTACTGTTAAAGTCAGCAAGCAGCTCATAAACAGATCATGTTCATCATGTCCTGGTTTCTAAAAATGTTTAGTTTGCTACATGTAAAACAGGTTGAGAAAAGTTTAATCTTGTTTCTCATTTTCCATTCTGTGGTTCTATGTTTCAGCCACGGCCGCTTAATCGGCCAAAATCAAAGATGGGCTCGTCTCCATCGGCTGCTGCAGGCTCAGCAGCGGGAGGAGTGAAGCTCTCGTCCAGCCGCGGTTCATCTAATGCCCGGCGCAGACGGACACGCTGCAGGAAGTGTGAGGCATGTACACGCAAAGAGTGCGGGGAGTGCCACTTCTGCAAGGACATGAAGAAGTTTGGTGGACCAGGCCGCATGAAGCAGTCCTGTATCATGAGACAGTGCATAGCGGTCAGTCTGGGTACTCAACATCAGATTTGACCCTTGATCTGCTGAATGACATGTCTGAAGGAACTAACTGCCACACTGTCTGTGTTTTGCAGCCTGTTCTACCTCACACTGCTGTGTGTCTGGTGTGCGGAGAGGCTGGGAAAGAAGACACGGTAGAGAACGAGGAGGACAGGTTCAACATGATGCTTATGGAGTGCTCTATCTGCAGCGAGATCCTCCATCCAGCATGCTTGAAGGTTGTTTTCCTAATTAGTCCACCAAACAATTGGAGACTGTAATATCTGAGCCATAATGGCATCAACAATTTTTCACATTTAGTCTTATTTTAGACATACAATGTTGTTCTGTTCAGTAGAAACTTATTCTGTTCTGCTGTTCAGGAGAAGGATTCTGGTGGTGTTGTAAATGACGAGTTGCCAAATTGCTGGGAGTGTCCGAAATGCAGTCATTCTGGAAAGACGGGAAAAGTAAGCATCACTGTCCTACCTAACAACATAAAAACATAAGCCTAAATTATGAAAATGGTGATGATATTGTTAACTCTTAGGTAGGGATGTAACGATTACCGGTTTGACGATAAATCGTGATAAAATACCCCACGGTTAGTATTACCGTTTCATATTTTAATTATCACTATAACCGTATTCGATTACCGCGATTTGAACAACTGAGGATAAATAAATACTGTACTGCACAGGGCTCCAGTGTGTGACCAAATGGGCGCATTTTGCGATCATTTTTTCTGCCGGTGCGACTAAATTTTGTGTGCGGTCGCACTGGCGTGACCACCGCATTGTTTAACTCATAAGCGCTGCATTTCTGTTGCATGTGAGAAACATCAAACGGCAAACGAAACTGAAAGCATAACGAAACCGCGTGACTCGTTTGAGCTGCGCAGCTCTTCGAGTGTAGAGCCTGGTTTAGCCTATACTCCCCGCGTCAGGAGCGCGAAGCTGCCTGCAGCAAAAATGACACGAATATTGAGGAAACGATGGATGGGGTTCATGCTAAAGTAAAGTAAAAGACCGCTTCTTAAACCACAAAAACTCATTTTATTTGTTGTTTGTTGATTTTAAATGTAAAACTTGGTGAAATGATTTGTGTGTCAGTACTTTTTGAAAATTTCCAGGACATTTTAACAATACCGTGATAATAATGATAACCGTGATCATTTTGGTCACTATAATCGTGATAAGAAATTTTCATACCGTTACATCCCTACTCTTAGGATAACAAGATATTACATTTCTGATATAATACATAATAGATATAAACTTGTCTTGTCTTCTTTCCCACCTTTTGGTCACAAAGCAAAAAAGAGGCCCAGGGTTTAAGTACGCCTCCAATCTCCCTGGCTCTATGCTCAAAGAGCAGCGAATGAACCGGGACGTAAAGGAAGAGCTGGAATCAAACATGTCTACTGAGTCCTACACCTCTACTGTTTCACCTGTCATGAAGAAGAAAAAGACAGAACGAGAGGACAATCCTACCTGCAAGTCAGAAGATGCATTTAAGAAACGTTCTACCAAATTGGAGGACAACCCACTCCGCAAGAAGAGAAAACTCTTTGAAAAGGACTCAGACTCAGATTCCAATGTTAAGAAAAAGGTAGCAAGACAATGAATAAGTAAAAGCAAATAAGAGATGAAATAATATTTTTTGCAAAGCATGTATTTTGACCCTCTTTTAAATCCACAGAAGAAGCGCTCAAAGCCTGAAGATCTCTCAGCCTCTAATGTCCTGGGACAGATCAAGACAGAAAGAGAGGATGAGGAGGAGTATGATGAGGTTAACAGACAAGAATTGGAGAGGAGAGCCTTCGGATTTGTGCCCTCAGAAGAGGAGGATGGAGATGATGAAGAGGAGGAAGAAGAAGAGGAGACAATGAAGAAGAAGGGTAGTCCAGACGAGAATGGGAAGCTTGAACACAAGACCTCCGCTGCATGGGAAGGTGACCAATCACAGGGTGGTTTTACCCAGGCAGGGCCCAGTATTGACTTGGGTGTTGATGCACAGTTGAGGAGCCAGCGAAAAACCAAACGTAAGCCTCGCCTGCCCAACAAAGAACTGAGCAAAGAACTAAGCAAACAACTCAATCAGGAGATCCAGAATACAGAGGACCGACTAGCACATCAAAATGGCAGAGCGGTGAAGACAGAACCAGATAGTGATGGAGAGGACAGAAAACCACTGAAGAATGGAAGCAGCCATCTGAGAGACTGGCTGAGGCCTAAGCGGGAACTAAACGGATCATTGCGAGAGCAGCTCCCGGTTAGTTGGATCAGGACTACACCTACCCCTGTCATTCGGCCAAAACCTTGCCGCTCTCCACCGAAATGTGTTCAGATGGAGCGTCATGTTATTCGCCCCCCTCCGATCAGCCCCCCTCCGGATGGGCTGCCCCTAGATGATGGGAAGAATCACGTAATGCGGAGAGAGGTGTGGATGGCAGTGTTCAGCCACCTCACACACCAAGACCTGTGTGTCTGCATGCGGGTCTGCAAGACCTGGAACAGATGGTACGTCTTCCAGAAACTAGATAAGAAAGCATCATAATGTTGTGCTTTTTAAGTTGCACTTGCACTATAGAGAATGTACTTTATACTGCAGTACTACATGAGCATCCTTTTCCTCCATTGGTGCTTTCATTGGTTTACTCCCTAGCTCTCAGACTTAACCACACCTTTAACCCTTGTCCTAACTAATGAAAACACTGGATTGTATTTGGGTCACAAGAATGAAGTGAATCTTTTTTTACTTTCAGTTTTACTTTTGTGGGTCCTCCATGTTATGTATATTCTAAACACACAATCTCAACTTTGTAAGATGCAAGTCCTCTGTCCTCTGTTCTCAGGTGTTGTGATAAAAGACTTTGGACCAAGATCAATCTGAACCGATGCAAGTCAATCACTCCACTCATGCTGAGCGGCATTATCCGCAGACAGCCGGTCTCCCTGGACCTGAGTTGGACCAACATCTCTAAGAAGCAGCTCAGCTGGCTAATCAACAGATTACCTGGTACAATCACACTTTTACTTACCAGCTAATTTGTTTAATGTTGTAAAGTTTTTTGGGAGTTTTGTTTCAATGCATCTCAGGTTCACTGTATAGCTGGATTCCTTTCCAGCTGTTTTGACCTGTGTATATCCTAATGGTTTAGCCTTTATGTACTTGACACTCCAGTCTTGTTCCCGGAGATCTATATTCCTGCCAAGTTTAGCTATGACCCTGATCAAGTACACCTGAACCAGCTAATTAATATCTTTAGGAACTTGATTATTACAAACAGGTGTTTTGGAGCAGGGTTGAAACTGAACTCCAACAACAGGATTGGGCACCCCTGATGTATGCAAACTCCACTCTTGTGTCCAATACTTGCATAACACCTTTGTGTTGGTTTCCTGGCAGGTCTGAGGATTCTGTTGCTGGCAGGCTGTTCGTGGGCAGCTGTATCAGCTTTATGCACATCCAGTTGTCCTTTGCTAAGAACTTTAGATGTGCAGTGGGTAGAGGGACTTAAGGACAACCAGATAAGAGACCTACTCTCCCTGCCGACAGACAACAGACCAGGTACTGAATGATAGCATTAATTGCTGTTTATGTCCATTATGTACTCTTGACCCATTTAGAAGTTCTTTATCTTCTTATTTTGCCAATTCATAGCGCCCCCATGTGTACACAGGAAATAGTACAGGCACATTTCTGTTATATTGTTTAAAAATTGATTGTAAAAGATGCATATTGCTGTCTCTCAGGTCAGTTGGACAGTAGAAGTAAACTGAGGAATGTGGAGAATCTCTGTCTAGCTGGTCTGGACATCACAGATACATCCCTGAAGCTGATCATAAAACATATGCCTTCACTGTCCCAGTTGGATCTTAGTTACTGTAACCACATCACCGACCAGAGTGTCAACATCCTCACGGCAGCCGGCACCACGACCAGAGACTCTCTCACTCACATCAACCTTTCAGGTATGCAGGTAATGCTAAACCCCTCACATAACAGGTTAGACATGCTAACGGACAGTGGAGTGGGCTGGAAAACAAGTATGCATACATTGTGTGTGTATAGGCTACACAAACTCATCTTAATTTGATAAAGATTGCCATCTTGCTGTTTTATGCATTGCATCTTGGGAAAAGCATGATGCAAGGCCACTGCTCTTCACTCGCTACTAATGTAAATCTGAGCGGCTATGGCTCTAAATCCCCATTCCTTTCCTCCACAGTTTGTAACAGAGTTACAGACCTGTCGTTGACCTACTTCAAGCGCTGCGGAAACATTTGTCACATCGACCTGCGGTACTGCAAACAGGTGACCAAAGAGGGTTGTGAGCAGTTCATCGCAGAGATGTCCGTCAGTGTGCAGTTCAGACTGATCGAGGAAAAACTACTGAGCAAACTGAGCTAGTCAATAAAGACAGTGACAATAACTTGACCTAGAACCCAGGGAACTAACAATCTCGCCCTCCATTTTTTACACTTTTTCAACATAGGATGGGTGGAGCGTAATGCACTCCACAGAAAACCAGCAAAGACAAAAATGACATTGCTAAACAACACACTCCAAACAAAAGCCTGAATTCATCAACAGAGCTCACAAGTGAAGAAATGTGTTCTTCTCTGGTGGCCAATTCAGCCTTCCAATCTGTTTTTTGTTTTCAATTCGTTTAGTTGTGCTGCTAAGGCAAACGTTTATTGATTTTTACGTTTACAAGGCACAGCTAACGGAGCGTGCCAATGTTAAAATGCTGTTGAAAGGCATGTTTACTCATATTTTGCATAAATGTTATAAAAAAGGTTTTATAGTCACACAGTGCAGTGTTGCAGTGACTGTTATTTTCTTTCTCGGAAAAGAAAAATTCTAAATGCATGTGCTTTTTTCGTTACCATGCAAACGTTAAGCGTCATGCAGTATTAATTTTTGTATCAGAAGGGATTTCACACTTTATGTGCAGTATTAAATGCACTCATATATAGACTTTATTGACAGTATTCAGTCAGTACAAAGTTTATTTTTTTTCTACGCAGTAGGAAGTTAAGCAGATCCTATCTATACTAGCTATAGTAACTGTGCAGATGTTTTTGTAATGTTAATTTAAGATGTGATGTCTTCTAATGTTATAAGATGTTCTACAGGTACATTCTCTTTTCCATAGGACTATATTACTTATCTGGGCTTCTTTAATATGTATATATCTGGAGGGAAACATATTTGCACTGTTTGACCTTAATAAATACTGATATTTTTTCCAGTATCGATGTTTTGCTTCACGGAATTTTGACTGTGAACAACTTGGTGCACAATATAGAGCATCAGATTATTCAAGGTAAACAAGATTTATAAATTAGCCTAAGATCCGCCCTGTTGAAAAAACCAGCATATGCTGGTTAGGTATGCTTTGATGCTGGTTTAAGCTGGTCCTTTGCTGGTTTGTGCTGGTCCTTTGCTGGTTTATGCTGGTCATGTGCTGGCAAAAGACCAGCATAAACCAGCAAAAGGACCAGTTTAAACCAGCAAAGGACCAGCATAAACCAGCATCCCAGCGTCAAAACATACCTAACCAGCATATGCTGTTTTTTTCAACAGGGCGGTTCAAGCAATTATGATTTCCCGCGTACCTTTTTGCCGCTCTTTTCCTCACTCTCATGTTAAGACTTATAATTGAGTAAATATAGGACAGGTTATCACATACAGACAGGCTTACCTCAGCGAATCTGTTCTTCAGAATAATCAGCAACCATATCCGTGTATTGTGCTATGAATAAAAAGTTATTTTCATCCGCTTGCGTCTGACTGACTGCGTTGCACTTAGCAGCCACTAGAAGGCGCCGATTAGCATTTCATCGTTTGCAACTGAGGAAAAAATAATACTGAAATGAGAAAACTCTTCTTATTTTGTTACTTCAAGGTACCATATTTTATTAAATTTAATAAATCATCTTTGAATTACCAAAATAAAAAGTTCAACATTCCAAAATACAAAGACCAGACCCCAAATCGCCTTCCAGCGCTCAGTTTAAGTCGTTTAGACTAATCGTGTCCGTTGTCTGCTCAGCTAGAGTAGTTGCCTACTACCAAGTGACATCTTTTAGAGATAGCAGCATTAGAAACATACACATAAGCACAGTGTCAGTGTTGGGCAGACGGGTGTGGAGATGTTCTAGAAGCAAATGAAAAACAGTCTGATTATAGAAATACATGGTTGTGACACCAGAATGTAACCAAATCTACTGTAGTAGTATTATTTGTGACCGATTAAAAAGATAAACAACTAAATCAATGTTGTTTACATTCAAGGAAAAAACTGGAACGCTGAAGAAACATTTAAAAGAAAATGCAAGAAAAACTGGACAACAGAGGAAAATCTAGCCTATCCATATAGCCTACTTTGTGTACGTCTTTTTTCACATGTATATAAAATCATATACGTTTGATTAAATTTTCCTTTATATTTGTTTGTCTAGCCAATACCACAGACATCATAACTTGAATTTGACTACAGAATTCACAGCAACAAAGGGCATCCAGAGGAATCAAATAACAATTTATTTTCCTCTTTATCTTATCGTTATCTAGAAAATATAAATACGTACAAAAAGGGAAAGAAACGTAAGTAAAATCATGAATGCAATAGAGAACTGTGATACATAAATCCATGTAGCACCGCTTGTGAAATCAACACAACACACCAAAAAAAACCCCAGACATCTTTCATGGTATTGCTGGAGATGAAGAACATTGAAATCAAAACTTTTGACCAACAATGAAAACGGAATATTTTGCTAAGAAAACCAACCAAGATTTAAAGGTGCACTACGAAATTTTTACCAACTTCTATAGTGCTTTTGACAAATGTTTTAATATTGAACACTCATGTGAGACTCAAAAAAAGGTTTTGATCTACAAAGGTGAACCTCCCATAATGTTGAGATCACATGACCAGCCTAACTTCCTTTACCTTGGTAATCACCCTATTATCTGACACTTTTAATTAATCGAAAATGACTTAGCACACCTTTAATTATCTTGTATACACAGCACAATGGAGACAAACCAACCACACGCCCGACGTTCGGCAGATTCTGCAAAATTTGATAAAAAAAATAAAATAATTGAGGTTCCAGTAATAAGCTACATAGTGGCAGGTGCTGGATTCCAGTGACTCTGAAAAAATACAATACAGTTTCTATCAGCTTGCTATAAATAACTCTTCTGCTAGCTGGTCATTTGATCCGGTGTCATGGATGCTGATTTGTGGTATGGCAATAGCCGATTTAATACATGAAAACAACACGCTTATTAATAATATAGCACGTAAAAACAATCCAGAAGCCGTTCTGCACATTTCTACTTTGGCACCTACAGTACCTTCCCCCTTCACGGCAATGGTTTTCACTGTTGCTACGACAACATGCATCTTAATGGCAATCGGTTTCTCTACACGCACACTTAAAGATTTCTAATATTGCACATATAATGAGACATTTCCAAAAAGTTTACAGGAATGTACTGTAAACCACTTAAACGTTCATATTTTCTATACGTTATTCCTCTAAAATCCCTTTCTTCCCTAACCGCAGAAACGATTTCAAACGTGTCAATGAATGACCAAATAAAAATGGGCAGCAGGAAATGCTCGCTCTGTGAAGAAGGTGTGCGCAGTACTGGTTTTCACCACTTTGAATCTAAAGGGGCAGTTCATTGGTCCAGTCGTGGCCCCAGCCTGCTCGGTCAAGCAGGAAGCATCTGGTGTGTTGGTCTTCCAGTAGAGGTGATGCTCACCCGTTAAGACTTGAAGACGTGCACCGCCCGCACCACGTACTGCCTGCAGATGGGGCACTCGCTCATCCTCTTGCCACACTTGGTGCAGGTGACCATGTGACCGCACTCCAGCAGAACGCAGTCTATCACGGCATCCATGCAGATACGGCACAGGTTCTCATCAACGCCGCCCAGCAGAGCTACTTGCACACCATCTGGAAGTATACAATATATGGAAGGTTTGAGATCTTGTTTAATAGTCTATGGATCTTGTTTGTCTGTTCTGCTTGTGTGTAATGAGGTTTTCTTTTCAGATTTTTGTACAAAATTTCACATGCAATGACATTTTACAAGACATTTTGAGCAGTAAAATGTGATAATTTTCATTAAATTCAATTAATTTCATTAAATTAAAATGCTTTAAACAAATGTTCCAGGTTCAATACAACTTAAAACTCAATCATAAGCATTTTTTGATTATGACAGAAAATGTTTTCGACTTGTCACCTAATATAATAAAAGCATTTAAAACTGGAAATAAATGAGGACATGCATGCTATATATTTAAATGTCACAAAAATGTGAATTTTTGTTAAAGGACATTAATTCTTCTTTAAAATAAGAAGATAAATTAAGGAATTTTATTTTCAGTTTTATTTTCTTTAAAAATAAAGAAAATAAAATTGAAAAACAAATCATTTTAAATTAAACTGAAATTCAGTTAAAATTTTTATTTGAATTAAAATGCTTTAAAGAAATGTTCTGGGTTCAATACAACTTAAAACTATATCAAAAGCATTTTTAAGTATGCACAGATTTGATTACGTCCCATAATTTAATAAAAGCAGTTATAATGGAAATAAATAGGGACGTGTGCATTAAATATTTAAAAGCAGAAATGTACATTTTTTGTTAAAGAACATGAATTCTTCTTTAAAAATAAAGACAATAATTGAATACATTTTATTTTCAATTTTCTTTTCTTTAAAAATAAAGAAAATTCAAAAATATTTTATATGAAACAGAATGAGACAGAAAATGTTCTCATCTCTGAATTTAAAAAAGCAGTTATAGAAATAAATAAGGAAATGCACATTAAATATCTAAAAGCAGAAATACCTAAAAGTGAATTTTTGTTAAAAGACATTAATTCAGACATTAATAAAGACATTTTATTTTCAATTTCATTTAATAATTTCAAATTAAAATTACTTATAAAACTGTGATTTTTGCTTTACAAATAAACTCAGCAAAGTAAATATTTTCTGTATTACTGAACCTGGACACACACAGTCTTTCTTATTTGACATCCTTTTAGCCAGTCAATATCAGCCAATATTAAAACCTTTTAATGAATGATAAACAGCAACTCTCCTCTATGGCAGACTAAACCAGTATTTGCTGATGTTAGTCTTACTAGCTCTATTAATTGCTCTATAAAAAACCAAAATGGTGCACATCCCTCAAGCATAAGAAACTTGGTCCTTCTCCAAAAAGCCACTTAATATATTGTACAGTAATGTGACAAGCTATAAAAAGACAGACAGATCACATTAGGAGCACAATTCATGACACAAATGTGATCATGCACGTGGAAACCACATATCAAACTCTCCCAGCATGCATTGGGAAGAGTCACTTTTCATTAATGGTAATGATGATGTTGGAGTCACATTAAAAAAAAGGCTGAGTCTTACCTCCAATACCTCCATTGCATATAGGAGGAGGGTAAGCTATGACTTTGACTGACAAACATAGTAGTGGAAGAGTTAGCATTATTAGCACTGGACAGCTAACGTAAGCTCACATGCATACAGAAAATTGTAAACTTGAAAATGTTGCCCAGAAAGAACATATTTCCATGTTGTACACTCTTCATGCTTCACCAGGTTAGTAAACAGTCATGGTAGTAAGGTTTTGATATTTTCCACTGTATATTTGTAAAATTTGGTATTTTTAGGTGCATATATATGCATTTAAATATTTATTTAAAAATAATATATATATTTATAAAGTCTCAAGTACCAGTGTTGTTATTGTTAACTACAACTAAAATTATTACAATTATATTCAGTAATAACATACAAAACTTTAAAAAAAAAAGTGTGCGAAAATTACAAATGTTGCCGCTGCAACTAACAGAAATAAAACAAGTTTACGTTGAAGTACTAAAACGACTAAGACTAAAATAGAAATAGATTCAAGCTAAATAAATACATTTAAAACATTAATAAAAAATAATACAAATTACAAAAAGCACATAAGAAAATGACTAAAACTTTAAGATTAAGCTGAAAACAAATTAAAATATAAAAAATACTACCATAATAGTATATAAATAACACTGTCAAGTACAATGTATCACAATATTGGTCTGCTTACCTGCAGCTAGGCTGTTGCTAACATTTTCCACTGCAAGGAAAAGAAAATGCAAAGAATCAATTTTATGGAGAGCAGAAGCCTATTTGAAAATCACATTAGCCACAGCTGATTTTGGCCTGATCCTTGACTGATTCAATTTCATGTTGTTATTTCTCACATGCAGTCTGTCAAAAAGATTCGGAGACTGTAATAAAATGGCTGCATTCTTTGTCATCCATCACTCTTATTATATGATGCCAGCTGTGCTCTTTTCAGTCTGAACATCTACAAAAGCTTCCTTCTCATTAGTCTGCCAATTATATAGCCAGTAGAAATTAAAATGGTCATATAAAGCACCCAAGGCAGCTTTCATGCACTATTCTACTAATTCAAAATCTAGATGATCTTCTAGAAGTATGAAGTTGCTTAATAAAATAATGTTACTGAATTATTAAAAAAAAAACATCTTACATTCTTAAAAATAAAGGTTCTTTATAGGCATCTATGGTTCCATGAAGAACCTTTAACATCCATGGAACCTTTGCATTGTACATAGTGTTAATTTTGTCAGCTATTTTCATTTTAGTCTTAAGGTCTGTGCACACTGAGTCCGAAATTTTCGTATGCGTTTTTTCGTATTCGAAATCCTAAAAATTTGTCACGCACAGAAACCTTGCACACTGAGTCCGATGCGTATTAATTAATTAAAAAATTCGCACTAAATGGAGTCTTCAAGCAGTGAGGATGATTTTGTTGTCCTCTCGCTTCTTAAAAAAAGAAAAAGAAAGGAAATATTGGGTCCATCCAATCCTGAGATATATTGAGAGGTCTGAGAGTTCCCCCTCCTTATTAAGGAGCAGCGGGATTATCCCGGGCGATTCAAAGTTTACTTCAGGATGTCAGTGGCTCAGTTTGATGCTTTTACTAGCAATACTAGAGCCACATATTAAAAAGAAGACCACCAATTTCTGTGAACTCAGTGTGCAAGGATCTATATACAGTGCTTTGTGCTGCGAGACGAAGTGGATGAACTTGACAATCGCCATTCTGGATTTTGGCGTTCGCTTGTACGGTGGCTCTGAACTGTGAAGTGACGTGGACAAGTACGGTGACCCATACTCGGAATTAGTGCTCTGCATTTATCCCATCCAAAGTGCACACACACACAGCAGTGAACACACACACCGTGAACACACACCCGGAGCAGTGGGCAGCCATTTATGCTGCGGCGCCCGGGGAGCAGTTGGGGGTTCGGTGCCTTGCTCAAGGGCACCTCAGTCGTGGTATTTAAGGTGGAAGAGAGCGCTGAACATTCACTCCCCCCACCTACAATCCCTGCCGGTACGAGACTCGAACCCGCAACCATTGGGTTACGAGTCTGACTCTCTAACCATTAGGCCACAACTTCCCCACAAGTTGGAGCATCCCCACAAATGCTTGCTACGGATGCGAAAAACGGAAAAAATCGACCCCGATCCGAATTTTTTTTTATGACGGACGAATATTTCCGAGGCAGTGTGTAAACGTGATTGTGTAAACGTGATTGACGTAACGTGAGGTCGTATTTATTTTTTAACGTGCGAAATTTTCGGACTCAGTGTGCAATGACCTTTAGTCTTAGTCCCGGGCTAAAATGTCCTTGTTAGTTTTTATCATATTTAGTCAACCTTATCCTATGTAGTTTTAGTCGACTAAAAGTCTCAACATTTTAGTCTAGTTTTAGTCCAAGAAAATCTAAAGTATTTTAGTCTAGTTTTAGTCAATGAAAACTTGACATTTTAGCAATAAGATTATTAATTAACCATACAGCAGTATTAATTTTGGCAGCCATTTTTAATTTAGTCTTACTCTTACTCAAATGTACATTTTAGTTATCATATTTAGACGAACCTGTTTTGTTTTTTTTAGTCATGGGGAAAAAGCTTGTCAACGAATATTTTTCGTCATAGTCTTCGTTAACGAAATTAACACTATTTGTACAAAGGGTTGTTTATTATAAAGAAAGGTTCTTTAGATTACTAAAATGTTCCTCACACTAAGAAAAATGCTTCTTTTAAGAACTGTTCACTGGGAATCCAAAAACCCCCTTTTGGAAGCTTTAAAGGTCCTTGCACACTGAGTCCGAAACTTTCGTATGCGTTTTTAACACTATTTGTACAAAGGGTTGTTTATTATAAAGAAAGGTTCTTTAGATTACTAAAATGTTCCTCACACTAAGAAAAATGCTTCTTTTAAGAACTGTTCACTGGGAATCCAAAAAACCCCTTTTGGAAGCTTTAAAGGTCCTTGCACACTGAGTCCGAAATTTTCGTATGCGTTTTTCCGTTTTTTTTTTTCGTATTCATCATCCTTTCCTATCAAAATGCTTGCTACGGATGCAAAAACGCAGAAAATCGAACCTGGCCCGAATTTTTTTATGACAGACGAAAGTTTCGGAGGCAGTGTGCAAACGTGATTGACACAACGTGAGGTCGTATTTATTTTTCAACGTGCGAACATTTCGGACGAAAAATTCGGACTCAGTGTGCAGAGACCTTAACACTAACAATCCTTTTTTGCCTATGAATATTTTTGGGTGACTGTAACTAGAGTACAAGTAGACTACTTTGGGACGAGCTCTACACTTTCTGTGTCACATCGGGTCTTACTCGATCTTCTGTTGAGTTGGTTCTCTCTGTAGAGACGATGGACGCGCTCCACCAGCTCCCATTTCTCACAGCAGCCTGAATAGTTGACGAAGTTGCGAGCGAGAATCTCTTTCAGCTGCCGCACCGTCAGGCTCTCGATGTCATCCTCGTGGGACAGGTCCGAGAGGGAGGCACGTGCACGTCTCTGCGTCGCTGGGCTGGCCTGCTCGGGGACAGACGTAGACACGTGGACGGATGGGTTATAGCATTTAACTGCAGTCCACATCGATATTACACAAGACTGCTCGTTTTTAACTCTGCAGATGTTTTCTGAAGTATTTGTCAAACACTAAGCAGACTTATGGGATGATGCTGAATTATTAATGATAATGGATGCTCAGTGAGAATCGAGGGGTTTTAAAGTAACCCAGTCCTCTTCACAGTAGGTGCCACAAACACTCATCGCATGCAGATTTTGTCAGAAGAAAAACACCTCCAGTATGTCGTCATGAGGCTCCAGGTTGAGGAGGGAAACTGATGCAGCATCTGCATGGTCCTGGAGATAAAACACAGAAATCAAGAACTTCTATCAGATTTATTAACTAAAACCTGGTTGAAGTCAGAGTGCGTGTTCAGACACACTGAGCCGGGCTGTGAGTTCAGATTCTACCAGCTCTCCTCTTTAGTGTTTGTATTTATGGAGAAAAAAAAAATTCTATGGATAAAGGCCTATAAATCCAATAAATGTAAATAAAAGTTTACTTACTTGATTTAATATATAAAATATTTTTATGAAAATTTCAGAATACAAGCCATATTAAACAACACATTTTACTTTGAAAAACATTACATATTATAAATATATATACTATAATACATAATATATGTAAAATCGTTCAAAAGTATGGGGTCAGTAAGATCTTTTATTATTTTTGAAAGAAAAATACAGCAAAAAACAGTAATACTGTAAAATGTTTATAATAAAAAACGTTGTTATTTGAATAGATTTCAAAATGTAATTTATTCTTGTGATGCAAAGCTGAATTTTCAGCATCATTACTCCAGTCTTCAGTGTCACATGATATTTCAGAAATCATCCCAATATGCTGATTTGATGCTCAAGAATATAATATAATACATATAATAAAATAATACAAATATGATATAATACAAAATAAAAATAGTTCTAAGATACATTACAAAATATTTAAAATATTGTAAATAATAAATACATTTAAATATCTAAATATTTTTAGATTTATATTATACTAAAATTGTCTAATTATGTAATACATTTCATTTATATCATATATTCTGAATCGCACATCTTAAAATAAATCATAAAAATATTATCCATTCTGCTGGAATTGGGAAGTGTTTACCATGTTACAAAAATAAGTCTTAAATAACTCTTTTACAACTGTGAGTAACCTCTGTCTGTGTCAGTGCAGTATAAATGAAGCATCTACTCATCACTTCCTCACAATTAGCTTCCCTTGGTTCTGTAAGCTGCACATAAAATAACACCACATTACAGAGTTAATCATTCATTCCCACTGATTGCAATAATTCCTTTCCTGTGTCACTCACACAAGGACTGTGTGGTCCTGGAGCAGCCAGCTTTTGTATGCTTTTTTTGGTCTCTCTCTTTCTCTATTTGCCGCATTCAGAACAATTAGCTAATGGGCCTGCGTTCTTCCTGTCTGCTGTCTGGCTGAAGAATGACTGTCTTTATGAGAAGACTCAGCACATGGACTGAGATCTCACACATGGGCCACACACAGACGGCGTGCAGCTTTGCTGGCTGGCTGCATATTAATAATGAATGGGTCAGTCTGCCAACTCACACTGGACCATCACAGTCTCTTCTCGAACACACGCAGATGCTCTTTAAAACTTCTGGCCAATTTTACATATCGAACTTAGCCATTTGCCTCTTAAACTCATTTGCACTTAAGCGTAAGTGTTTTAAGTCGCGCCATGCAGGAATGATCTGACAACCTGTTCCAACATTATGTAACCCGCTCAGTATGTCTGATCTAAAAAAAAAAAAAAGGCTTAAACGTCACGGCTAGTCTCGTGGGGTACAGCTGTTCACGCACGTATGGATGAATCTTTAGTAACTGAGGGTTGTAAGCAGCTTACTAAATGTACAGACAACAGGAGTCAATAGATTATAGTGTAGAAATGTAAAAAATTTAGAAGAAATCCTCACTTGATGTATTCAGAAACATGCTACTTTTAAAAAAAGTGAAAACAACGAAGTGCGACTCATGAATCGAGAAAAAAAAACAGTCCAATCTCCCAATACGGAAGTAGCTTAAACAATAACAGCAATCAAACAATATGGTCAGATATATTTATCGATATTTACAGGAATTAAATTAGTTTGTTTGATTTGATTCGGCACATTTAACATGCAAAAATGTTAAAAGTAAGCATGTTAAATTATGTGACAATGCAACAAACATTTACAGTAAAGTTATACTGTAAAGTAATACATTAGAAATCAAGATTTTTGGGAAAAATGTTTCAATGTCAAAATGCTTTTTTGCAGCATAATGTCATTTTACATTAGGCATTTGTAAGCTGAATTCCCAAAAATGTGTTTTTAAAATATTGCTCAATTTAGTGGTACAGAAATTATTAAATTATTAAAAATAAATAAATAAATAAATCACGTGAAAAAAGATAACTTCTAACCCAAGATAACTTCTATATATATTTTTTTAATGTGAAATAAATTTAATGTAAAATAAAAAAATTAACTGTAAAATAAAATAAAAGTAAATAAATGTAAAATAAAAATTATATGTACAATATATGTATATATAGCAATATTGTGCTATATATATACATATATAAATATTGTAAATAAATATATTTACAAAAGATTTTATTAAAATTGCCTCATTATAATAGGTAATACGTTTAATTAATAATAATACATTTAATAATTAATAAAACATTGATTATAAATGTTGAATCACACATAGTAAATGAAAAAAATATTATCCATTATACTGGACTTATTAAAGTTGCAATTTTCCTTTTAAAAATCCTGAAAATTCTTACCATGTTAAAAATGAGTAAAACAAAAATAAATCTTTCATTAAATTCTTTAGAACTAGCATCATGCATTCATACACTTTTAAGTGTCCAAATCCTTTTTTTGGCCCACTTAAAAAGTGACATTCAAAACAAAACAAAACAAAACAAAACAAAACAAAACGCTTGGCACTGTGTACTGCAAATATTCTTGGCTCTTGTGACAAATTGCTTGTGATGTTGTGATTATTTTTATGTTGACTGCTAAATGAATATAAATGCAAATGTATAAATTTAAAAGTAAATGAAAAAATAAAATAAAACAAATATTTCTTTCTCTTCCTTATTTTGAAGTCACTTCGAATAAAAAGTGTCCGCTAAATGAATACATTTAAAAGTAAATAAAAAATAAACAAAGTAAAACGAACAACGAAATGCATGGGAACACATTGCCATGTTACACATGACGTTTTCTTCCGGATAGCGCCTCACCTGATTGGTTGTCCCTGAGCTATCACTGTGACTGAGAGCCTCTCCCTGAGACGCGGCTACAGACAGCGCCGACTGCTGGGAGGAGGATCGTGCCGCGGAGGCGGGCGGCGTGGAGAGAGAGTGCAGAAGTGAGGGCAGACTGTCCGTGTCCGCTTCCGCCTCCTCTTCTTCCTCCTCCTCATCATCCTCCCCCATCTCCAGCTCGGCGCCCAGATGGCAGAGCACCAGGTCCACCAGGTCCTCTTTCTCCCTGCAGGTGTCCGTGTTGATGTTTCGCAGCGTGAGGTACTGCCGCAGGTCTTTAACGCGGAGCCGCATTAACCTGGGCCGCTGGAAGGCCGTGCCCCACAGCAGGTGGCAGGTGGCGCAGCGCCGCAGGTTCTCCTGCAGCACAGAACACAGCGAGCAGAAGCTCTTCTTGCAGTCTGAGCAAACATGCTGCGAAGAGAGAAATATGATGAATCATTAAACAGCCAACTTAATATGTGTGCATTAGACTGGTGATTTAATCACGTCATGCTTTAGTTGTTTTGATTGACACAGATGCTTCCATCTCTAAATCTCTGCGGCATGAACTTCATTTTTCAAGACACTTTCTAACTCTCTGAAGCAGTTGTGGAGTCTCTGTTGGATAGCTTAGTGGTGGTTATCAAATGCCACCATGCTGATGAATGAGCTGTTCAATCAAACCATTGCACTCTAGCTTAATGTCAGTTCTATCCATCACATCTCTGCATATGTGTGCTGGTGTGAGCGGCTGCAGATGCATCACACTGTCTTGGCATCGGAGCGTCTGCAGACAGGTGTGAAAGTGCTGATATGATTTCAAAACACTCTTGCTTTGTGGTAAAGTTAACGCTCTGATCTTTCATCACTTCTGTCTTTTGCCAGGAAAGGAGGAATGCCAGACAGAAGTGGCAAATCAGTGTTTCCTCCACCTCAGGAGTCACGAGCAATACTGTGCTATATATACATATATATATAAGATTATTTATTGTTTTTGAGAGAAGTCTCTTATGCTCACCAAGGCTGCATTTATTTGATCAAAATATAGTAAAAACTTCAATAATATTTCATAATATTTCTATTTAAAATCACATGATCCTTCAGAAATCATTCTAATATGCTGATTTGCTGCTCAAGAAACATTTATTATTATTATCAGTGTTGAAAACGGTGTCATTTATGTCATCTCTCTACTTTCCCTATCAGAAAAAAACCTAAAAACCTACTCCACAAACCCCAGGCGTCCTACCTTTCGTCTGAATACGGAGAAGGCCAGTCCGCAGGCTTTGCACGCCAGGCCTGCGCTCCCTGAGGTGGTGCTGCTGGGTGGGTAGGTGGAGTAACCAGCGCTGGGGGCAAAGCGGAACGGCCCGGCTCCGGCTCCAAAGCCCGGCTGCTGAGTGCGGACCGCCCCTGTGCCCATCACCTCGTTCAGCAGCCCACAACATGACGCCCACATGGAGGAGGCCCCCGCCTGGAAAAGAAAGATATGTTAAAGATAAGTTCAGATATAGGGCTGGGTATTGAGATAAATTTCACAATTTGAGTTCGATTCATTTGGATATACACCAGGTAGAGTACATGTACATTTTTCTCAAGGAAAAAATATCTCCAAAAACTGTATTTATTGTTCGAATTTCGTAATAAAAATGACAGTTTGAAAGATGAGAATTCATTTCATAGCAAAAGTAATAAAGCACAAAGCTTATTGCAATTTAGTGACGGTTCAAATAGTCGCAATAATCAATATATCGACTTATCGCGCAATATATGTACACGACCTCAATCATTTTTGGTGACGCAATATATCGCCCATTATATTTACTTAAAAATTAATGGCACCACGTTTTGTACATTCCACTTGCGTGTCTTTTGCGGCTTCTCGTACATAACGTGGTGTAGTCATGAGGTGCTAGTTCAAATAAAAAAAAAGCTTCTAAAAAAAAGTGTCATCTGCAGATATGGTCTTGTTTAGAGATCTGTGCCTTTGTGCATACGGACATCTGACTGCTGAGTAGTGATTGTGTTTTTCAGCAATAGTGTGCACCCTTCATTTACAGAGAAAAGAAGGTCCGGGAAAAATCTGTAGATGGAAAAATCTCCATACAAGTTCTTTGTGCATTTTTCTCTTTTTTTTTGTACTTTTTGTTAGAAAATGTTTATTTACTATTTATTCAAGTCTTTTAAGGTATCTAATATTTTGATACTTAATTTCCAGGATCTAAATATTCTTAAAAATTAAAAGTTTGTTGACATTTGGAAGTGTGTATGCCTTCTTGCATTATTATGCTATTACATTATGATTATATATTCAGTGACATAAAATGGTCTTTAAAATTACAATAATATTGCTTATTGCAATTATTTCTGGGGCAATATATCGCACAACAAAAAGTTGTTATCGTGACAGGCCTAGCTTCAAATAATGTACAAATAATGTTTAGTAAAGTTTTGCTCCCGCATAATCGAGTAAAGAGTAAACTATATAGATTATATATAGAGTAAACTATATAATCGATATTGTCAACCCAGCTGACACATAACATTCCAAAAACTTTTGCTTTTATATATATATATATATATATATAAATTAAATTATATAAATGTTTAAGGAATGTTCTTATAACTTCATTAATATTTGATATACGTTCTCATAACATTATCAAAACATTCTTATGATGTTATTTGTACTTGAACATTCTAAGAAATGTTTTTGTAAACTTTACATAATGTTATAACGACAACCAGAAAAAATAATGATCTTAGAATATTAAAACAAACATTCAAATAACGTTATATTTTGGGTGAAAATAAAGTTGGTAGCATGTTGTACGAAACGTTTTTGTAACATTTAAATAACGTTCTAATCACAACACGAAAACGACATTAACATTTCAAAACTATGTTCCTACGTTTTTATAACCTAAATTTGTTCCCTGGGTATTCAGATATGGAACGTGTTATGATAAAGCATAGGCAAAAACTATCCTGTACTTTACCCAGAGGGCAGATTTGTTTGATGAAATCAGGCACATATGCTTTACTGAGCTTCACATTATGTAACTTGTACATCATAAACAACTGAATGCACTCAACTTCAGCACTCATAAACTCTGCTAGTGATCAACAAAAATGAATCAATGCTCTGCAGGCCTTAAGTGAATCCTCAAGGAACATGATACAGTGTAAATGGCTGTTAGGGCAAGACAAGGCACGACTAATTCTTAGCGTGCATTTGGAGCATTAAAGCAGTGTCAGTACAGCAAAACAGCCATGAGAGCTAAACAGCCGAGATTAATGGACGTTTCTCAGGTTTCAGCCAAATGCATACCAAACAATGCTTTCATAAGAATCATAAAAAGCAGACATTACCAGGCCTATTCTTACTCTCCAATGGTCTGGGCTTTCTAAGAGCTTTCATTTACTTAAGGTGTAAATTTAGAAGATGTTGGTTAAGTCAGTAAGCTTTCACTCTGCTGGATGTTTCATAATTCTGCTGTCATACTATAGCCATGAACTTCCCACCTAGAGAAAATCATGATCTGACTCAATGTAAAGAAACCAAACAGAGTTATATTTATTGTTATGTGTTGTTTATCTGAAATAGATTGTAATATAATAACAATTAGGGGTGTGCAATATTGACAAAAAATGATATCTTGATATTTTCTGGGATTTTATCGATAATGATAATTAGACAATGTTTTGCTGAGTGTGTTATTGTGCTGGTACCTTAAGGACTGCTGTGGACTCCTAAAGATTTTGATATTCTTCATTTTCTGTGTGGTGGCCAGATCACAGCAGTGACATCTTTTCCAATAAGTTTAAATATATTTTTACCTTTTATGGGCATTTTTACCGTAAAGCCATTTTTTCTAAAAGTATGCATCATATTTTGAGTCAAATTTTTACATTTAATCAGTCAATTAGAGTAAAAAGACATTTGGGCTGTTATCACATAAGTATCAACAAAATTGATCTTTGCAATGCAGAAGAAACACAGAAGATGCATCTGAAGTGGCATTTAGATGTATTTACACACTGTTTAATGCAGCCAAAGACTATAGATATATCATTGAACATCTTAAACTCACAATGAAACGTGAGCAGACAAAGCAGTACATTCGAGTGAAACGGTTGATTGAAAAAGAAAAGATGTATTGCACGACTTGGTTCAATCCAATGGTTGTTGATTGGATGGAGGCAGATCTGAATGCAAGCTTGAGGTCGATTGTAAAAAGAGGCAATGTAGCGAACTAAATGATTGGACATAAGTCAGACATACATCACCAGAGAAAAGTCTGTCACTTCACCAGAAGACTGAGTTACAATATTTAGATTAGGAATTGCAAGGCAAATGTAAAAAAAAAAAAAGAAGTGAATTTCCATTTCATGCCAACTCTAAACCAGCCTAAGCTTGTTTTCTGGTCTTAGTTCGTCTCCCAGTCTGGTCCATTCAGAGGGTTTTTGGGCACTTTTCAATCAGTCGGTCTAGGAGACCAGGTTAAACCAGCAACTATACCAGGTTTAAGTCTTAAAGGGTTAGTTCACCCAAAAATGAAAATGTTGTCATTAATTACTCACCCTCGTGTTGTTCGAAACCCGTAAGACCTTCGTTCATCTTCAGAACACAATTTAAGATATTTTTGATGAAATCTGAGGGCTCTCTGACCCTCCCATAGACAGCAAGGTAACTACCACGTTCAAGGTCCAGAAAAGTACCAAGATGATCGACAAAGTAGTCCGTGTGACATCAGTGGTTCAACTGTAAAGTTACGAAGCTACGAGAATACAGTACCCTGACGCGAGCGTGTGGTGGCGCCGGCACTGACCCAGATCTGGCGTGATGACGTCATTACGCCGGATCTGGGTCAGCGCCGGCACACGCTCGCGTCAGGGTACTGTCGTGAACACGCGTCCAAAGTGACGCAGTAGAGACGAAAAT